TTCTGTCTTTTTTAAAGACAAAAATTTTTGAGGCGAAATACCCAAAAAGAAGTTTGTAAAAAATGAATCCGCCTCAACAATATAGAACTTATCTCTAGCTTCTTTATTTCGCTTCAAGAACTTCACGCTTTCGTGAGTTTATATTAGTTTAGAAATTGAGGAACTATGAGCGATTTTAAGCTTTAAATACGCGTTTTATGAGCTCAATAGAAAATCCGCGACCTAAGAACCTCTCCTATAGATTTATGGAGTTCATGTATACAAAATAGAGAAAATATGGTCGATTCAAGACCAAAATCGCTCCGAACCCTTCTAAGTTCACTTACATTTTGCATTATTTCCGTTTAGAAAAACTTCTTTATTTCACAGCTTCAAGAACTCGACGCTTTCTTGAGTTTAAATTCGTTTAGAAGTTGAGAATTTTTGAGCGATTTGGTTTTTGTCGGAATAATCGTAAACCGTAGCTCTATCCATCCATTCTATCGCCACAAAATGTAAGTTTTAAATGTGTTTTTTATTAGCGCAATGGAAAATCGTCAACCTAAGAATCTCTCCCATAGATTTATAGAGTTTATGTATATAAAATAGAGAAAATATGGCCGATTCAGTCAACCTCAGATTCAAGAGCAAAAGCGCTCCGCATCTTTCTAAGTTGACTAACATTTTGCGTTATTTCTGTTTAGAAAAGTCTAACTTCTTTATTTCACAGGTTCAAGAACTCGACGCGTTCTTGAGTTTTAATTCGTTTAGAAGTTGAGGATTTTTGAGCGATTTTGTTTTCGTCAGAGAAATCGTACAGTAGCCTTATCCATCCACTCCATATTGGCACAAAATTTTAGTTTTAATCGCTCAATGGAAAATCCTCGACCTAAGAATATCTTCCATAGATTTATAGTTTATGTATAGACATAAAATAGAGCAATATTGTTGATTCAAGAGCAATTTTGAGCAATTTGATTGTTTTCAAAAAAACGTAAGCAGTAGCTCTATCCATCGATTTTATCGACACAAAATTAAAGTTTTAAATCTGTGTTTTATGAGCTCAATAGAAAGTACTCGATCTAAGAGTTTCTCCCATATGGATATACATATTGAGTTACCATTTACATACTAGAGAAAACATGGTTGATTCAGAACCAAAATCGATCCGAACCTTTCTAAGTTGAGTAACATTTTGGATTATAGCCGTTCAGAAAAGTCTGGCTTCCTTATTTTCGATCTTCAAGAACTCGATGCTTTCGTGAGTTTAAATTCGTCTAGAAGTTGAGGATTTTTGAGCGATTTGGTCTTTGTCGGAATAATCGTAAACCGTAGCTAAATCAATCCGTTCTATCGGCACAAAATGTAAGTTTTGAATGTGGGTTTTATTAGCACCAGGGAAAATCGTCAACCTAAGAATCTCTCCCATAGATTTATAGTTTATGTATATAAAATAGAGAAAATATGGATTCAAGAGCAAAATCGCTCAGAACCTTTTTAAGTTGACTAACATTTTGCGTTATTTCCGCTTAGAAAAGTCAAGCTTCTTTATTTCCGAGCTTTAAAAACTCCACGCTTTCGTGAGTTTAAATTCGTTTAGAAGTTGAGGACTTTTGAGCGATTTGGTTATTGTCGGAAAAATCGTACACAGTAGTCCATTCATCCATCCATTCTATCGGCAGAAAATGGAAGTTTTAAACGTGTGTTTTATAAGCTCAATGGAAAATCCTCGTCCTAAGAATCTCTCCGATATAGATATTTAGAGTTTATGTATATGAAATAGAGCAAATATGGTCGATTCAAGAGCAAAATCACTCCGAACCTGTCTAAGTTGACTAACATTTTGCGCAATTTTCGTTTAGAAAAGTCTAGCATTTTTATTTCCGAGGTTCAAGAAAAGAGTTTAAATTCGTTTAGGACTTGAGGAATTTTCAGCGATTTGGTTTTTGTAGGAAAAATAGTAAACAGTAGCTCCATCCATCCATTTTATCGACACAAAATTTAAGTTTTAAATATTTGCTTTATGAGCTCAATGGAAAGTACTCAATCTAAAAGTATCTCCAATATAGATATAGAGTTTCTGTATATAAAATAGAGAAAATATTGCTCTAAATTTGCTAAAATTTTTTGTTAAGTATTTGCTTCTCTAAACGTAAAACGCAAATAATTCTAGGTACAGGAAAATGGAAAAAAATAGTGCTTGAAATAAGTTTCGTCAAACACCAAAAAATATAATAATATACAGGGTGTTCAATTTAATCAATTTCACCCTGTGTAGTTATTTTGAAAGACATTTTTTGATTTTCCCTGTATCTCTTAAGCATGCAAAAATTTTCAAATTTTGATTTTGCCGTTTTAAGTTTGACCTGAAAAGAGCGCATTGCACCTATCCTAATAGTGTCCAAATTGGGATACCCCGTACAACAAATAATCCAAAAATCATAATGCCTGAAACTCTTACATATACTTTTTGGCTTTAATAATTACCTGAATTAGCTTCAAGTTAGTCGTTAGTTCAGAGGAAAAACAGATTCCAAAAAAACGTCGTATTTTAAAGCAAGAAACCGTGCAGGAAGAGATCAACGCATCCATCCCAAACGGAACGACTCCAAACCGGTCGACGTATTCTTCAACGACGCGACCTTCCACCCATTAAAGATAATTTTAGGCACCGCTTCTCAAAAAAATTCTGTAGAATCGTCCGTGCTGAGGGCATCATCCATTTCCTTTCGACATCGAGCGCCCCCTATTTACAATCGACGCTCGCGAACTAAAAGCAACAGGATTCACGATAAGCGCCCCCCCCCCACTCTAAAAATGGGGCACCGGCACCTCCGCCTAGCGCTTCGCTGAATTCTCTAACGAAGGCGAGCGGCCACGAGAAGCGCAGTACCGAACTAAAATATCTATTCAACAGCCATCCATCTAACCAAAAAAAAAAAAAAAATTGCGACGAACGGCATTATGACTATGACTACCCGAGAGGATTTTTAGATAGTTTTCCAGGAATTTGGGGAGAAATTCTGAATAACCTCCAAAATCCGATTGCTGTCGACGCATGCAAACAGCGAGGGCTACTTTACAAACTACCGAACACCATAAACAAAGTTAATGACCTGTTAGCAAATTTCCTTCGACAACTCGATCTAGAAACACACATTTCACTAGTCGAACGGGCCTAAATCGGGAATTTCTTCCACTATTCGGACAAGTTTCGGTTGAATTGTGCAGGAATTTCGAAAAATTCAGGGCACGCTCGTAGATTTAGGGTTAAAAACAGCAAGGAAAAGTAGGGTTTGTGACTTACCCCGAATGGTATCACACAACGCCACCTAGCTGATATGCATGCCTTTCTGTTGCAACGAAAGCACGTAGTCCATCAGCAATGCCGAGCAGAGCCGAGCGAGGCCGACCGATTTACGAGACAGATGTTTGCTACAGAGGCTACAGAACCAGCCATTAAAAAAGCGACAATTTCAGGTAAAAAGACACCGATTTTTCCGGATTTTTGCACTGATTTTGATAGAACCCGACACCGGCTAACCGAATATGTGAAAATGTTTAAAAATTTCGAACGATTTCGGGCGAAAAACAACGAAAAATCTAAGCGTAATTGTACTATCACGCGGTGACTCAACATTTAGATATATTTTCAACTCGTCAAGTTAGATAGGGACGTGGTATGGTTCTTTAGCCAGGAATTTTTTCTATAGTTTCTGAATTTGCCGCTAGGCGGATGAATAATTCGCTTTAACTTGGCAAATATACGTGTTTATTAATTAATTTTCCAGGCATATTATACGTTTAGGTTCAAGGCCTTTCGCTTTATTATTTCACTTTGTTCACCCGAACGCTGTATTCTTGTTTTCGAGAAAGCCATTCGGATTTTAATCGCCGCACAAACGGCTTCTGATGTTTCGCATTTTATTATAAATATAGACGCGCCCACGTGAAGTGGCAAGGGAAATTTTCTGTTTTTCAATCACTGTACAAGTTCTAGTGTTTTCTGTAATGGCGTCAAAGGCGCGTTCTGCTTACGTAACCACGTGTACTGAATTATGCATTTTCTTTAACCATCATTCTGCTGGTTCTCACTTATTTGAGTTTGATCCGAAGGTCGCAGACTGTTCAAATTTCGCTCTTTACATAGGTAATACAAGTAATACATTTAATCTAATTAATTGGGTACATAAAACACATTTTTGATTTGCTCATTTATTAACTCTATTTATCGTCTTGTTTGATGTTTTGCCATTCTTCTCCTCCACGTGACTAATCTACATCCAAGATGTGTTTCCAGACCAACTCATCAGAACTAAAAAACGCATACATTTTTGATTTTGCTTGAAAATTGGGATGTTTGCAAATACTGAATACCAAATTCTTCAAGTGATTTGTTACCAATTTAACGATAATAAGAACATTAAAGAATTGAAAAACCTTGCCGATTCCGTAGCCATTTTGCTATCTTGCTAAAACAAGCGCTTTAAGCTTCCATCTTGAAATTCTGAAATTTTACGTGTTTATATGCATTCTGAAATGCAATTCTGTAAAACAGTTGCTCTTAATTTGTTTTTTTTTTCTAAAAATGTCAACGATTTCTAGTATTTAACGGAAATTCACAATTTTTTACAGATTTCTAACTTAACGTAAACGCCAATATTTTTTATAAAAACAGTATTTTAATGTATTTATGTTTGCTTGTAGCTCTTTATATTTAAAAAAGAAAATACAGTTGAGTCCGGATATAACAAACTTGAAAAATGAACTAAAACTGGTTCGTTATATCCGGAGTTTGCTATAAGCGAATAATAATACAAAAACACGTGGTGTATTTTATTTCGTTATTTTTACATAGAGTAGTAGAAGTTAGTAGGTATGACTAAAAAGAACACAAAAAAATTCAAATTGAAATTTACTTCATAAAGTCTGTAATTTTTGTTTCTACATTTCTGCTGCAAAAATAGATGTTATTTATGTAGTTTTCAAGAGCACAAAAGGACTCCCAGATATGATTAGGAACTTGGCGTGATTGTAGAAAATTCCGAGTTTCTGACACTTTTTTTGTCATTTCAGAAATGGTTGGAACAGCATTAGTGTCTATAGTAGAATACGTTTCACCTAAATCGTCATCTTTCTC